GGTGAGACCAATCACAGACATCACAAGCACAGCCCTCAGAAGAGAAGAAATGTCAGTATGCTTGTAGTCCATTTGGGAAAAATAGCCTTAAGGAGGGTGCAGTGTTTTGTAGAGACCCAATGCTAAATGATCATTCTGTAAATAGTGGTCACTGCTAGGTAACGCCCACAACATACATGTACAGAACAATGGAAAGGCTGTTTTCTATATGATCTACGCTGAGATTTTATAACTGGGAGGTTTGATGCTTAGTCAGTTGAGAGTGAGTTCTGTACAGGAGTCTGTGAAGACAGGCCTTCAGCTGGAGGCAGAGGAATAGCCATTGTTGAAGCCATTACCAGGAAATGACTAGTAACAGACTGAGAACACTGGACTGTGTGCTCTAGTGAAATGTGAAGTGTGGAGATTAGTGATGGCGCTGTAATTGCTTATAGTTCCAAGTTGAGTGTATAGGTGATCAATAAATCTATTCAGCAATCCAAACTTGGTCTATAGTCACATATACATTACATGACAATATTATGTAACAAGCCTATTAAATTCCACATGGTTCTCTTAAAACTTGTAATTAAATACAAGGCATCAAAGAAACATGCAGAAATTCACACTGTTTATGAACAAACTTCGAAGCTGAAGAATATGATAAAATGATTTCTTGTTAGTACAACTCTGACTTACCCAGCTGATGTAACAGTTCCCACAAACTCGCCATTTCTGTATAATGGCTCTCCTCCCCATGGCCAAATATGTATATCTGGATCAATATCTTCCAAAACAAAGAACACAAGTCTCTGGGTGACTCCTTGTTCTTTCTGGCGTTGGAGAGCAAACTTGCCAATGAAGTATTCTTTGTCTAATTTTACACGATGACCTGCACCAGCCTCAAATGGGGTTGTGAGGCTCGTCAGCTCCTCAGCCCAGAAAGCAATGAACTTCTCAATGCGCATGAAACGCTGTGTGAGGCAACCCACATCTCTTGCTCCATAGTCACGGCCGACCTTGAGAGAAACAATGACTCAAAAGGATGCCTTTCTGACATACAAATGGCATTGCAAGTAAAACATGAAACTGGCATAAAAGTTTTATAAAATGAACATTGTGCTTTCTACATAAATAGCTCTAAATTTCAATGAATGGGGGGGGGAGATGAGATTTATTAAGTGCTATTTATAATTTATGATTTAGAGTTGCAGTTAGTTGCAGCCACCTGCATTTTTAAAAAATTCTGCAAGATAACTATTACAGGATTAGGAATGAAGTTTAAAAGCATTTTGTAGTAAAGGATTTTGAAGAATCATGTTTTAAATCTAATTGACTGTTTAATGCTAAATGATTTACATATTTAATTATATGCAGAGAAATTATCACACAGTAGCTTTCATTAATGTAATGTGTGCATGTGTGTATGCTACAAATGATACAATAATTTTATATTCACTGACAGAAAAAATACATTATATAATACACAAAGTAGCTGAATGAATGAGAAAGCATACCAAAAATTATTAAATAATCCAAAAGAAAATTGAGATTTGGGAAGGCCAAAATTGAGATAGTATGATAAGAACAGGCCTCAAGCCTAACTTTGAATGAATGAAATATTTTGTGGGATAAAGTATGAAAAGTAGATAAAACTTTACTAAATTATCCCAGATACTCGAACAGTTGTCAATATACTGTTTAGTACTGATATACACAAGAAAATGTTCTGAGAGGTTCATAAGCAATGGCAAATTGTAGTGTATAGCTTTCTGAAACACAGTACGTCAGTACATAAACCTAAAGATTACTGAAATATTCCAGAGACATTTACCCCTTTAATCTTCTAAACTTATCAGCTTCACTTGAAACGAAACCTAGGAACAGATGGAATTCTCTGACAGTATTTATTGCTACTCCATCAGGGTATGAGTATGAGGTGTGAGCCATAAAACTGGCCCTAGCACTGCCACCTTCACCGGTCTATTATGCTCTACTCCATCAGGGTAAATTAAAAAGAGAAAACCACTACGCTCCAGTTTTCAATAGCCTTGAATGCCAAGCCAAAAATTTAACAACTTTGACTGATTCTAAGTTTTCATTAGACTGGCTGTCAGTACAAAGTACCTAACACTCTTTATCTGGTCTAGATATATCTGAGTGACAAGTACTTAATTTTATGCTGTCTGATAGTAATTTTCACATTTTGACTTAGTGTCTTACCGTCATGAGTCGATCATATACATGAAGAGCATATTCTGAAGGAACATATAAGCAGTATCCAGGTTCTCCTGTATGAGTGAAGGACATTACCATAACATCAGAGGCATAACCCACATTCACTTTTTTGTAAGTAAATGGAAGAAGATTCACATCAGAATTGGACAATTCTGACATCAGGTCACGGGATTTTGGGCCAACGACATTTATTACTGTATACATTGATGTCATATCAGTGAGTGCCACAGAATGGTCAGGAGGAAGGTTACGCTGCATCCATTCAAAGGTACGAGTCTGCTGATTTGTAGGAGATACCATGAAGAAACTGAAAAGGAAAAACTCATCACTTCATGGAAGTAACAGATTCTGGAGTCAAATGATGTAACAAATGCTAAATCAATATCGTTATTAACTCATGGCTTGTAAAAACAGAATTTATATGTTTTGTTTCTTTACTCTGGTGTAACTTGGGAATGTTAAACTCGTATACAACATACTTTCCACTACCTGAGATCATCAAAGGTAGGACACATTATTATTGAGGTAAAGCTGTCCCTGTGCTTGACTATACCATGAAGTCATATGGTGGACTGCATGTACAGACCCATGTTTTCTTGACCTCAGCACTAGCTTGAGGTGACCGGTTAGCTTCACGCTCCAGCCACTTTACCTGTGGCAAAAGAGCCCTAGTACCCACTGGATAGGTGGCTGGGTCAGCCCCAGAATCAGTCTGGAAAATGTGGAGAAGAAAACACTCATCCCCCCACTGGGACTCAAACTCTGACACCTTGGTCATCCAGCCTGTAGCCAGTCACTATACCAACTTTGCTGTCCAGATGCCCAGAACGCATTACATATCAACTCAAATTTGTAAATAATGATCAATTTCCTACTATATACTTATTGAGGTTTGCTCAAGTCTTCACAAATGAAAGATGCAGTCCCATCTAAATCTGGGAAGAAAATAATTAGTTTTAATTTTACTTCATAACTTCTAGCCTTTAAAGTACTCCATTTTTCTTATATCAACTTTATTCTCAAATGAAGTGTTAGCAAGAGATGTCAACATTAAATTTAATTTCCATTAAACTGCAATGTCCAGTAAATGTGGAATTTCTGAATGTATATAGTGATAAAATGAAAACCCACATTTTCATTTAAAGAGAACAAATCTAACCAAACATACAGAGCAAATATGTATCTGAAAACAATTAAATTGATAACTATCACCAGCAGTTCAAAAATTAAAATTTTGCACATTCATCACTATACTGTATATTAACTATTACAGCAATATAATTAATTCTTTATCCTTATTTTGTAAATCTGTTGCTTTCTAATTCATAAATTACAATCTGATTTTTTATTTTTGTTTATTTTTCCCCATTCTCACACCTAAGACTTAACCCAAGGATTACATTGTGTAAAATGATTGGATTTGAAAGAATGCACAGAGAAGTGATCATGTTCTATTTTAAGATATTATCCTGGCATTTGCCCACCAAAAGAAACCTCAGTCAAGATAGTTGCTGTGCCAGCAGAAATTCAAATTGGGCACCTCCCAAACATAAGTGAGAAGCATTACTGCTTAAGACAACTTGCTGAGAAGTGTAAGATCATACTGTAGCATCCTATTGCAATCAATTCTTATTCAACAAATGTCACTGATTCACCATCTTACATGCAAGACATACTTTCAAAACTTATTTAAAAGTTTCTTACTTCATATAATGTCTTTTAAACCTTATGTGAGTGTCTGTACATTGCACTACATGTTTCGAGTGCCATCGGTCATCATCAAGTGTTTAAAAAATGCTGTTGAAAACCGCTGTGCTTCTATTTCATGATTCTAATATTCAATATGTAGTCCCATCTACACACTTGTGTATTCCAAGGTGCTGAGTAGCTCTTCCTATTGTGTTGCATTGTGTTGTGTCTGTGTCTACACTACAAGTGTTGCATTCTGTTGCTTAGAAACAGACACAACACAAAATTCTACATCGAACCAATGCACAATGTAGAACACGCAGAACATATGTACACCCAGACAAAACGCATATGCCATATTTTATGATCATGTGTAAGGCTACACACATAAAAATTAGAAAATACAAAACTATAATTTTGCCTGTGATTCTGAATGGGTGTGAAACTTGGTCTCTGACATTAAGGGAGGACTACCTGTTTCTAACGGGCCCAACTGAGTAGGTTTTATCCTTCCCTACCCACCTGAAGATGGAGACAGATCCAGTCTCCGAAACGTCGTGGTCTTTTGTCTTTTACATACCAGACGATGGATGAAGTCCAAAATAAGCCAGAAGAAGTATAGACTGAGGGTGTTTGAGAACAGGGTGTTGAGGAGAATATGTGGACCGAAGAGAGAGAAGAAGTGACAGGAGGCTGGAGAAAACTGCACAATGAGGAGCTTCATAACGTGTACTCTTCTCTAAGTATAATTAGATTGATCATGTCAAGGAGGATGAGGTGGGCAGGGCATGTAGTACAAATGGGGGAGACGAGGAATGNAGAAGGAAAGAGACCACTGGGAAGACCAAGGCGTAGGTGGGTGGACAATATTAAAATGGATCTTGGAGAGATAGGATAGGATGGTATGGATTGGACTGATCTGGCTCAGGATAGGGACCAGTGGAGGGCTCTTGTGAACATGGTAATGAATCTTCAGGTTTCATAAAATGCTGGGAAATTCTTGAGTAGCTGCAGAGTTAGCGGCTACTCCAGAAGGGCTCGGCTCCATGAGTAAGTAAGTAAGTAAGTAAGTAAGTGTAACGATATATATCGTGAAATATACACACCTAATATACCACACATTAACCACCCATACATCACAGAAACTTCTCTCTAGGCTCCATGACCATGCTTACTACATAGAAAGCTTCTACAACAGAGACCTACAAATGACATAATATGCCCAATTCTACAATGTAGCACTGGAACCTTAGTATTAAGTTGGCATACATGCTTTTTAACCTCCCATACTAAATAGTTTAATTATACATTCTTTTTTTTAATTTAAATATTTTTAATATTTACATAATATATTCAACACTTGATATATATGGTATATATTTTTATTTTATTCTGTTATCTTCTATTTTAATTGTAACACCAACTTGAGGCAAATTTTATCTGTTAGTATATATTATGACATGTTGCACTGGTATGGATCCATATTGGTAGTTTAATAACTAAACACAGTCTTATATATTGCCTGATGATGGTCTTATACGACTGAAACATGTAGCAAGAATAAAAAGTTGAATTGTAAAATATTAAAAGCCAGTATATTTGTTGTACTGACAGTTAACATAAGTCCTATATATATCTATATATATAACACACAACAGGATGCTACTGACAAGGACAATAGGCAGAGCTACCCAGCACCATGGAAGACATAAGCGTGTAGATGAGACTACATATTGAATATTAGAACCATGAAACGGAAGCACAGCAGTTTTCACCAACAGTTTTTAAACACCTGACGATGACCAATGTCAGTCGAAACATTTAGTGCAATATACAGACGCTTTCACATAAGGTTTAAAAGATGCATTATGTAAAGTAAGAAACTTTTAAATAAATTGTAAAAGGACACGTTGCATGTAAGAGGGTGAATCAGTGTCATTTGTTGAACAGTTGCTGAGTGGTATGTTTAGAATCAGTAAGTCTTACAGTATAGAATATGAACAAAATTCTCTTAAATACATTAAGGAACAAGCTATCAAGACTACCTCACAAGACTCTAAACAGAAATAGATACTCATAGATTTTAGTAGTGGTCATTTAAAATAATATAAATACACAATAACAAATGTAAATATATGAATGTTAACACTGAGATACAAACCTGAACAAGCCAAAGACACTAATAATTTTGCACATAGTTTCAAAATCAATTGCACAGAATTAATAATCACCACCATGAATTTATGAAGTTACAACTTACGAATTATCATTCTGGCGGACAATCATGCAGTCATTTTCATATCCACCAAGCTCATTCTGCATTCCTGTGTGAACTATCCCTCCTACTGGGATGTTGACATCATTTGAACACACCCGCTGAAGATAATCTACAACTTGACTGCCACTTGACTGAAATGCAAAATTGTTTCAGTAATGCTATAAGAGGTTACAATTATAAGACGCAGTGAAATGTCTAAGTGCTAACATAAAAGACAACACCCTTCCATAATGAAAGTTCTTTCCCATTATGGGCTAGGAAAGCTACAGCACTGCACTTTTATGTAAGAATGTGGGGTACACTCTCACGTGCATCCTCCAACTTTTACGAGAATAAAATTTCTAAATCCATTTCATTCAAGCTACAGATACTGTATTATTCACAAGAACATCAGGAGGCTAGACGACATGTGGCAAATGTCACATGGGTAAGAATACTGTGAATCATGAGATATTCCCTGGTGATGTATCTGTCAAATTAAACAAAAGAGAAATGGCATGAACTATGTGGTTACCTTAATTTCTATCTTTGAAAATGAAGACATATCAATGATGCCTACACCTTCTCTGCAAGCCAAATACTCTTCACGCATGAAATCAAAAAACTTTGGTTTATAGAAGCTTCCTGGTGGCATCCGAGGCAAAGGATCACCATCTATGAACAGGAAATTAATACAAAAAAGAATATATCAATTTTATAAATTCTTAACTACAGACCCTTGTACTCTATTAACAAAACTTGCCTTTATATGTAGAATCAAAGTAAACAGCTCGCTCATAAGCCATCCTTGTCCCAAATACAGCACCCCGCTTTTCCAATACACTGTATAACGGAGAGCACCGAAGCTTGCGAGCATACTTGTACTCACATTGGTGTGGATACATAATTGAGTAGTGCCTAAAATTGAACATTGTTGCCATGTATCACATTCAGGATATTTTTAGTCATGCATTCACTGCCATCTCATGTGCAACTCACACTAAAGGTTTAAAAATTCAAATTTTAAAATTTTAAAACTCTCATTTGTTTCATGTTGTGTGCCTTTATTTAACACATCTGTTATACAACATGTTTCAGCCTATTTGGCCACCATTAGGTGCATTAAAATTACTGGAGAAATTGCTGCAATTCGTGTACTTACTTTTGTGGTGATGTGTGCATTTTCTACCACTATGCTGTGTGTGGATGTTATGAATGTTCTGTCAAATCAAGTCAAAGTCAAGGTCACATTGCGACTGACTGACAGTCACTCAGTCAGTCTTTGTGTTGAGCCCCATTTGAGACTCATGATCAGATATTGGTTACTGTTTGACAGTTACTGTCTTGACATTGTGAGGTATCCTCTCTGATGAGAGGACAGTTTTTGTCTTTTGTCAGTCACTGTCTACAGTAATATGTCAGCTGTCATAATGTACAATATATTTACATTTTACATGTTATTCATGTTAATAAACGTATGTACATACAATATATACAAGGCCTCTATCAGTCCAGGCTCAGTACAGCAGATTATGCCCTATTTCTAGTAGCTTCTGCTACAATGGCAGTCTAGTCACATGAATGGTTGTATGCTTGACCACCACCAAGTGGTCGGACTTCGCCTTGTCCAATGTTGCAAACATTTTCATTTTCATGATTTTACTTGACTTCAGCTTGTTCCCTGAATAATTTTATTATATAATCATATGCGTATAGAAGCTTGAAAGCCATGAGAGTTCTGTAGAATTGGTTCTGTTTTATATAGGGCAGCTGACGTTTGTGTGCTATCTAGTATTTAATTATTGTAATGATTCAAATATCAGGTTATAAATATACATTCAGGACATGTTTATAAGTTTATCTGTGCTGAAAATAAATGTACTGAAAATGATACAAAGTTCATCAAAGTTTCAAGAAGTATCACATTTCTTCAGCAATTATGTTGTATGGTGATATCACTCTTGTCAAAAACCCAGGGGAATAAAACCAGATCACAGAAAATGGCATTTACATAATTTTTATCAGATCATTTTGCACAATTACATTATTTACATAGTCTGATTAAAAGAGTGTGGGTATGATTTCTAGGGGTCAAAACTGAAAGATCAGAATAACTCTTTATTTCAATTATTCATGCTCCTACATGTGTCAGTCTTCAGAGACCATCATCAGAGGGACACCTTTACATCAACACAGTTAAAAGCCACCACTACAATACACATATATTGTCCCTAAAGACTGAAACATGTAGGGCAGGCATGTCAAACTCAACTTGTACAGAGGGCCACCTCAGCCCTATAAATAATAATCCAGGGCCGCTCTTCAAAACAGAAATATACATTAGATTTTGATACAAGGAAATTTAATTCTATTTATTACTTAGGAATAATTTCAATATAATTACCTAAAGTCACATATCTTACAGATTTAAAAAGCAAGAGAATGCCATTTTTGACAAGTATCAAACAAACATATACAAGAAAACTCGTAGTTGATAATTTAATGTTTAATTATAACCTTTATACGTTCATCACAATGTAACATCAGCACCTGTCACTGTGTGAAAATGAACTGAATGACAATGCACAAGAGACTACTGGACTAGTAGGAAGGTGTATCTTGTCTCAATGGTCATAAAAGTGAAAGTTTGCTAGCAGCCCATTAGACAATGGCTGGGGGTTGCAAGCTAGTTTTGAAGGTAGAAATCCCTTGCACTTGTCTGTCAGTTGCCATCTTCCTTGCATTCTTACTACGCCTCCAAACGGGATTCTTGGAAATACTTGGGGTGGTGAGGCGGTGCGGATTTTAGTGCATTAACCTTCTGAAATACAATAGTTTGTCCTTCACGAACTTTACAAACCGTTAGTTGGACAAACCCTTCTGCAATTCTCAGAATCACTTTTCCTGCAACCTGCTACTTTATGTCTGCGTGAGACTTCTTGTCTTCTGGTCTGTTGGAAAATTGTCTTTACAAAAAATATTTCTACTAAAATTTTTAATATTGATTTTAATATCAATTAGCTCTAAAAGTTGAGGGGCCGCACTTTGTGGCTATGTGGGCCGCAAGTTTGACATGGCTGATGTAGGGGCATGAATAATTGAAATAAGTAGGGTCTTCACCAGTTGCACTGGACAGAACTGTTTAACTTTTTCTGGTATTATTAGTGTGACAGACTAGAATGAAACAAATCAAAATCAGAATAACTAATTAAATTTATTTCCTTTACATTAGACTCCAGATGACTGTACATGGCAAGTTTTAGATATGCTGTCATCTTTTGATGTACCTCTGGTATTCTTACCTCAAAAGGATGTTCAATTCCCTTGTCACACTTCATATCATCATTGGTCCATTTATAAATCTCTTTCCATTTACAACCATTTTTATCTGGGTAACATATGAGTATGTATATATCACCCAATGCCAAATTCAGTAATTATGACAGATGGTGAATGAGAAAACTGTTGTGCTTGGCCACAAATTCTCTTATAATGGGTCCAAGAGACACAATGTTGTCATGATTTACATGAAAAATTTGGCCAAACTTTTACTGCTTCAATTAAAAGCATCTGAAATTTGCTGCACTAAATGTCAGTTTCAGCCACAACTCAACAAATCATCATTTGTCTGTCTTTGTGAATTTCAACATAAAACTACATGACTGGTTTCTCAGTGTACAATGTCAAAAAATGGCACATTATCTTCTGCTCAAGTTTAGTCATCTTTAAAGGGATCAAACCAGGAAAGTGCTCTGAAGAGCTAACAAAGTTAATCACCAAATGCAGATTTCAATATTCCATAGGTTTCCTTGGCTGCCTTGTCAAGCAACACACAGAACTCTGAGGATAAATGCTGTCCTTCAGGAGAGCCATTTCACAAAGTGATACATAAAAACAGTTTTGCCCATAATTGTTTCTGTGTCAGTACTGGGACAAAATGGCATCTATCTAACAAAGTGCTGGATATCTGTGTGTTAAATACACCGTTTGTTTAATATTTCTTTCATATTATGCTTCATAACGTTGCAACAAAAGCAGTTCCTACTCTTTTTGATCACACAAATATTTATGACTTTGCTATTACCACACTACAATTAAGAAATATTAATATTTCGACTATCCTATATTGCATCTGATGATGGTGGACATGGTCATAACAGTGAAAGTGACAATGGCCTCAGTGACAGTGATTTTGGCAATGTCAGTACATACACTGAAATATAAAGAAGTAGTTGCAATGCCAAGTAGTCATAATCTTGATTTCAGAATATATGTATGAATTTTGTTCTAATATGCTACAAGCCGGAAGGTTGCGGGTTCGAGTCCCGATGAGGTCATTGGATTTTTTTCAATTGATCTAATGCTTCCAGCCGCACTATGGCCCTGGGTTGACTCAGCATCTAACAGAAATGAGTACAGGAATTAATTAAATAATTTTCCTGGGGAGTAAAGCGTGGCCAGTGCGTAAGGCTGACAACCTTACTGCCATCTTTGAGCCGACTGTCTAGATCAAGGGTTTCCAAATTACGGCCCGCGGGCCACATCTGGCCCGCAATGTGATTTTTTCCGGCCCGCGAAAGAATTGTACAGAAATGCGCCAATTGAACTAATTTTCCAATGAGTACTGGTAAAAAAAAAACTTGTTCATAGATTTAAAATTCATTAATTAAGATTATTCACAATTTTACTAATTCTGGACCATATACTGCATGGTATTTCTTCGTACTTGTTCGGCCTCAATTGGCAGTGTCACTTCATGTAAATGTAGGTAGCGCGAGCAGTTCATTACTAGCCGTTTTGTGCACAAGACTTCTTGCAGTGGTGCAGTGTAATTGTAACATATCATAATCATTGCCGGTGTTGTACTTATTACCATTTTTGTATTAAAGGCAACTTACGCCCAGTTTTGCTCTAACTGTTCCGAGAATTGGTAGCGAGGAATGTTGATAAGGCTACTGGAACTTTAGTCCCTTCTATGACGGCCAGCGTGGTATGGCTATCAGTTACCCCTCGCAGCCGACAAAGGATGTTTCCAGAACGTCAGTGTGTAGGAGTAGAGGAGTCCAGTCCGCAACAGTTCAGTTCAGTCCACAGCCGGTCTGTACATAAGTGTACAAAGAGTAGTGTGTGTAATGTAGTTGATGTGTGTAATAAAGTAAGTGATTATTAAAAGTCAGTGGTTACAGTTACATAATATTCAATTTGTAATTGAATAAATTTATTCATATATTTGCTTGTACAGAGATCTCGTAATTTTAATAATTTCATAATTATATATAAATTTATTTATTTAAACATTTTAAATTAACAAGAGTGGTCATAGTAAAATTAGTAGAATATTTGTTATTTTTATTTAGTATTCGTTTTATTATTAATTTTTGTATTATTATTCTCTCTTCAAGTTTCAACATGGATGGAAAAAAGAAAAGAAAAATTGACGATGAATGTCATGCATTTAATGAAGAATTGGGTGTAAAATATTTCTTCATACAATCGAATTCAAAGGATAAAGCTGTATGTCTGATATGTAAAGATACTGTTGCTGTTTTGAAAGAATACAATATACGTCATCACTATGACATGAAGCATGCTTCAACGTTTTCACAGTTTAAAGAAAAGCAGCGTTCAGATAAATTTGCATCATTACATCGTCTGCGTTCTCAGCAAGACTTATTTACAAAAGCAAAATCAGAAAATGAAGCCTTAATCTTTGTAAGCTATAAGGTTGCTTATATGTTGGCTAAAAAAAGGAAAACCATTCACTGGTGGCAATATCATCAAAGAGTGTATGATGGAAACAGTGACTGAGTTGTGCCCTGAAAAACTTAATCTTTTTAAAATGATAAGTCTTGCGCCAAATACTGTTGCTCGTCGGATTGAAAATGGGAAATAATATTGTACAGCAAATTGTAGGCAAAGCACAGTGTTTCAGTCAGTATTCTCTGGCACTGAATGAATCAACTGATGTTTGTAATACCTCTCAACTATTAGTATTTCTTCGTGGCGTCGATGATGAACTTAATGTCACACAGGAATTAGCGTCACTTCACAGCATGCATGGCACTACAACGGGAGATGACATCTTCAAAGAAATACAAAACACACTAACAGAATATAATTTGGACTGGAACCGTCTGCAGTGTGTGACAGTTGATGGAGGAAAAAACATGTCTGGTATAACAATAGGTTTGGTTGGC